CTCAATTGTTCAGTCAGTACTGTTGCTTCAGAAATGATAATAGGAGTTCAGTTTCCCAGGAACATTTACATCTGTTCAAACACAAAAGTGCCAGGAAAAAAAATCATTCAGCAGGTCATACCATTTCCAGACCGAATTTCTGGGAGGGAAAATTAGGTCTTTAATGCCTTCCACAAGGCAGGCAGGGTCAGGGTGCAATTCTTTATACTTGCAAGCCTTCAGAGCCCCTTCCTCAAAGTTTACCCTTGATCTTCACTTAAAAATTGTTCACAAAAATGAAGAATCATATGGAGGCAACACTCAGGACACAAACTCCAAGACAGCACAAGCAGAAGCTCTGATATGTGCATATTGGGACCCATCTTACATCACAAGATGAACTTTGAATTGTTTTCAAATCAGAAGACACATAGCTGCTATTGCTAAATTTCCTACCAGCCAGGGAAAGGCAACAAATCATTTGAAAAGCAATATTTCCCCACATTTATAAGAAAGCCAAGTAAATACAACAAGATAATGAAGAAATATGTGAAAACAATCTTATGAATCCTTTGAATGCACAATGCAATTCATTTTATTGCTTTAATAGTACACTCTGAAAAATACACAACTGATTTTAAAAAATGTAAAAAGTTCTCTCCCCTTATTTAAATAATTTAATTCTTACATGTATTACTAGAACAATTGACACTATGAAGCCAAAGCAAATATTTTCAGCTATTTTAATTTTCCAGGGCTCTTTAAACAAATGCTGATATGTACTATATAATTTGAAACAAAAATTGTACTCCCTTTTTCAGGATGAAAAGAGTAACTTAACCTTTGAATTGCAATCCTTAGCTTTTTGAAGTGAGCAGCGATCACCCAATTTCTTTGAGAGATGGCTCTGATGTTCTAGAAGCAACATGCCCTGTGTTAGGGTTCTTTGATCCAACTTGGTCTTGGGTTTTGGAGTGTGATAAGGAAAACAACAACAACAACAAGACCTCCTCTGTTGACTATCTTTTCTGGTGATAATGACCTGTTATTTCCCAAGACAGATTGTATGCCTATGCCTTAGTTTGCTATGACTTATTGTAGGTGTTTGGTACTATATTTTTATTTGTGTCTTTATATACATAGCTTAGACATAGTGTTCCCCCAACTCCCAGTAATCTTTAGTGTTTGTAATTTTACTGAGAACCATACTTCTCTCCTCTTCCTAAATCTTATGATCCATCCAAAGTACTGTGACTGGCACAACTGGTGGTAGTCTAATCACAAAAGTCCCTTGAGCTGAGTATAGACCTATTGAATCCAGTCCTCCTGTCCTGCCCATCAAGTGGGATCCTTTTTTTCTTTTCTACTGTAGCTTCTACAGCATTACTATTAGCAGCAGAGCTAAGCTATGGAAGAGGCTGAAAATTGAGAGGATTTGGAATCAGGACATGTATTTAAATCATCTACTCCAGTTCATGTAAATGACAATATCCCAAAATAACCAAATCTATCTTGAAATTAGGGCTTTGTCTATTTTCAGACCATAGTCCTATTATGTTTCTTGGTATTTGATAAACAATGTTTTCTCATTTTAAAAGCTTAACAAGTAAGTTAACTATTTGGGGGAAAATAATCACTGTTACATATTATCTGTTAAATGCTTCTTTCAGATCAGTGAAAGAAATGAGAAGAGATAAAGCAAAAAAAATGTCATAATGTATCTCTAGTGAAATATAATTATCAGAGATGTCTGTGGGTTCAAGATGGAGGCTGCAACCAAGTGATCAAAGCCTTGACCATTTTCATGTAGATTTGACCCATTACCCACTGTGGACTTCCTGACAATCACTACATGTTACTATCAAATGCTTATTGCTGTCCAATTGGAACAGGTTGGATTGGAGGAAGTAAAATTCACACTTAATATTAAATGGGCATGGGAGCAGAGGAAGAGGCAATGAAGATGGTTGGTAGGCAGGGAACTAAAGCTAACATGGATGGCCTCAAAATGCCTAGTTTCTGGCAAACAAAACAACAACAACATAA